AACAGTGCTCAGCGCCGGACGCTCTCTGTTGTACATAACAGACCCGCTTTGCATAATAGCCCTCTTGAATAGGCCTTTGGATAGCGGGGAGAGTATGTGTGCGGACACCGACCAACTCCCGGCACTGAAGCCAAATATAGTGATCTGATCCTTATCTCCGCCGAATAGATGTATGTTTTCTCTAACCTATCATTAATTGAGTTAACGTTAAAAATGTTTGTTTAAAATAACATTAAATAAATACCCATTTGAGTGCCAATAACTGGTCATAAAAGCCCGCATTTCCGGGCGCTGTCTCATCGCCGCCGTAGAAGAACCCCAACGGCCCGACCCTATAGTTAACGGTAACCACAACCACATCATTGGTCGACAAAACACTGCCATTGTTTTTGTCCCTAAATATTGATCCCATACTCAGTCCTCCGCCATATATCCAAAACATGACTGATTTGAGATCACTTTTCCGTTGATTCTCATTACTATTGTCCACATTTGGTGTCCATATATTCAATACCAAACAGTCTTCACTTAATATTTCATTTCCCGTCAAAACACCAAACTTTGGTATCTTTTGAATGCAATGATTACCAGATTTTGTGCCGTCTATTATACCCTTAATTACAATAATTTTTACATTTAATAAAATTATTTAAATACTAAATTCAATTCATACTTGTTTGGGTGCTCTGAGAGGTAGGGGTGGGGCGAACCTGAGTGGGCCTAAGGGTGGCTCAGCGTAGGGTATATTCAAGAATTGATGTATTTTGCGATTCAAGACATGGAGTGTCTGACCCCTCACTGAACCCGAACTCGTGTTCACTTCAATACTATTCCCATCGCAAACACAACACACTATTAAACACACAATTAGTGCTGATATTGAAAATTCATTTGCAAATAACATTATGATTAATTAATTTTGTCAATATCTAATCAAATTAATTCATAAAACTTTAAATCTCATAAACAATAAATTAAAGTTAAATATTAATTATTGTTCTCTACCTCAATGTTATACTGATAAATATATTAATAATTGCTGTTTCAATCACTTATTACGGCAAACATTGTTACTATGCAAATATATTACAGGATATTATGATTAAAAAATTAAAAATCACTTCCAATACATGCCTGGTCATTTTTAATACACTATTTATCTAATACGTATATCATATTTTAGTAAAATTAAATATCAATGCTATTACTGTATAGAAAGCAGACTGTATTTAGTTAATCAATGATTGTATGATTTATTTAATAAATATGTGCAAAATAAATGTCGTTAATATAGAGTGGTTGAAAGTTTAGCCTAAATGTTCATCGAGACCCCTAAACCTTCCCTAAATTTAGGGCTAAATTTAGCCCTAAACGTTCCCAAACTTTCACCACTAACACCACTAATGTTTAGGGTACAATCAAAATATATACAGTACTATATTTACAATGAATGCATTTTAAAATCTTTAGAAAATGAGATTTAATTTCTTAATAAAGAAATACAACAATTAATTATTTATGTAATTAATGAATGAATAAATGAAATAAAATTACATGTTTTAAAATACAATCGGAAAATAGTCTCTATATTTGGTTTACAAATGAAATGATTACTAAATGTAAGACAATATCAATAATAATAATTAAAATGAAATATAATAAAAAACTAAATGAAAACACAAACACATATACAATACATACTTATAAAAAATTAATTATTTTATTATTTAATTATATAATTATAATGTAATCCAAAAAATGAATTTATCGATGAATTAAAAACTAGATTTTCATTCAAAACAATCAATTGGTTTAAACAAAACTCAACTAATAATTAGCTAATATTTATTCTCAAATTAACTTAATTACTATCAATTCATATAATAATTAAATAATAATTAATTACTTATAAATTATTATAATTGTATTAATAATCAAATGTTATAATCAATATATTTATAGATTTGTTGTACTCTTATCACAGATATTGTCATTGAAATCATTGTATGGTTTGTGTGAATCAATTTAAAAAACGTGAGCATTGATTATAAACATCATGATCGCCGCCCAATAGACAATATGGTTGTTTATGTCGGTATTAAAACACAGTGACCATGCTCATTCGCCGAGTCCAATACACATATATTATTTATCTTAAAACAATTTCTAGACTTACGATAAGTCACGTGTAGTTTGTGTTTGTATTTGGTTTTAAATGTATCAAGATATATAATATAATTAGAAAAAACACATTCATATAATTAATTAAAACACACTTTTGGTCAGTCATTGTGTGTCATCAGCACACAGTGTCATAAAACATGGTAAACACATGATTTTGTATTTTACAACTAGATGTATATTTAAAAAACACTATTAATTATTATTTATCAAATCATTTCACTATATATTTAGCACACATATGGGCGCCGACAACGACACTCGTCTCTCCCATCCCTTTCCCTATCATTGAAATTGTGTTGAATTTAATGGCATCTAATGAACGCTCTGGTAGTCAATGCCGGCTCTTCAGCTGCGATACCACCCATTCTAAGCCCTGATATAATCTGTAAAACAAAAGTTACATTAATTAAAACTTACATTAAATTGCAAACAATACAACACAACAGTTATGCGCAAAGTCCTGGTGTAATGTGTTATAAGGATTAATTAATCATCAACATATTGTTAGTTAAAGTAGCTAGATGGGTATTGTGCAATCATTAGTTAACGTATTGCCAATAATTAAATGTCAAATACCGAGATCTGTTTTTGATAGCATATTAAGTGATCGGAAAATTTTCAAGTGATTATTTATCACTGATTAAAACAAATAACAAACTCTCTCTCTCTCTCTCTCTACTAATACTGTGTTTGATAATTGCAATTAAGTTATTATTCAATTAAATGATAAGAAAACATAACGTTTGTTAATGTATTTCCCAATAGTGTACTAACAATACATAATTTAAGGTATTATTAAACTAATAGATAATAACAATCGCATTATAAATGCCATTAAGTTTACCGCATGAAAAACAAAAAACTAATATTAATAATAAAATACAATTCAAAAAGCCTTCAAAAAACATAAGACAAATATATTTGTTTAAAATAAATTATAACAAAATTTATGCTTAAAAATAGCATTCAATTATTGCGTGTTTTACATTAATAGATCTCTCTCTCTCTCTCTCTCTCTCTCTCTCTCTCTCTCTCTCTGAGACCTCATTCAAATGCAAAATACAATTACAGCAAAGGATAACTACTTGTTTGGCATTAATTTAGTGTCAATTTATGGGTAACTAAAGTAATAACTTATAACTAAAATAACTAATGTATGAGAAAATTTAAACATCACATAATTATAAAATCACTGATTAAAAACCCCTAGATAGAAATACTACCACAAAAACAACTGATAAACTAAAATACCATGTGAAAAATTAATTACCAATCAATACATCAATACATACGATAGACTAATCACGCAATAAATGAACTAGATTATAAAACATAGCGTAAACTATTCTAGATAATAAAAGTGGGTAAAGTTCACTAATATTAGTACACAATACCATGTATTCGCATCACCACAACATACCTGCATATCAATGGCATTATCTCATGATAAACACACAATACATATATGAAAAACAACAACAAAAATATCCATCAAATCCTTCACAAAATCTAAGATCAGATCGTATAAGACATTAGACAACACACCAGAAGAATAGTCACATACAATGGCATCAGACAAACAAAAAGAGATAAATTCCTGTGAGAAGCGGGGGCTTAAAGGGGACGGCAGTCAGACAATACATTACATGACAAGCCATCACAACCCCATTAGACACAACACCAGACACATGACAAACAACACACACACAGACATAAACTGCAAAAACATTACTATACACTACAAGACATTACTATACACTACAAGACATTACTGTAGACCACAGGACAATACTGTTGGAAATCATAGATAGGATGACCAGCACAACATACCCTTCGCCGGTGAGCGCACAACAGGCCTGTATCTGCCACTTGTGTTTCTTAATGGCGGTCAGATTGAGCTCTTTGGAGATCTGGGCGGCGGTCATACAGCCCTTCACGTCCTGTTTATTAGCGTAGATCAGGACACCGGCCTTCCGGAGGTCGTCGTGAGCCAACATTTTCCACAACTCCTCTTTACTGATGCCAATGCGCTCGCGATCGGTGCTGTCGACCACCAGTATTATATACTCGGTGTTCGTGTAGTAGGTTTGCCAGCCCTGACGGATCGATTCCTGGCCGCCGATGTCCCACATGACAAAGTGGATGTTCTTCCAGACCACTTCCTCCACGTTCGACCCCAGTGTCGGCGATGTGTGCACTACTTCTTCCATCAGGCTGTTAGGGGTGTTCCGGTCGTAGGGGTTAGACAGTAGGTATGCATTAGTTTTATTCATTGTTTTTTAATTTTTCAAATTGTTTTATTGTTTTATTTATTGTGATCTAAAAGTTTTTGTGTTTCGCAGTGTTTTTGTGAACACCCGTTATATTTAAGTCTAGGAATTTTTTTCACAGTACTGGTTATATGTGTGAAATTCACACTGTGAATAGTGTACTAAATTTTTTTACTGAAATCCTGGTTACAAATGTATGTCAAGGAGAGAGGGGTTCACAGTAACGGGTGTTACGAACACGTGATAAAAAACTTGGTATTTGTTTTTAACGTTGAAATTACAATAATATGTGCCAAAAATGTGTCTTAACTATACTCACAATTGATATAATATGGTCGTTTTGCCCGCGTTATCAAGGCCAATTATCACTAACTTATGTTCTAGTTGTACGTAATCAAGCCAACCATGGTCGTAACCAGGACAGAGATGAAATAAAAATAAATTTAATTAATTAACAGTCGCTAAGACATGACCAGAGCTGTCCGAACAGGTTATTACAGCATTGATTAGTTTGGATCATGATTAATTAAATTAATACAATACCTTCGTGGGTAAAGTAACTCCACAATCGCGAAAATAATAGTCCCATTATTTATAGTTTTTAATTAATTAACTAGTGTTTTAAGATATGATTAAAATATACGAACAGACACAACACCAACAAAAACAACTTTGCGATGGGTTAATAAAAATACAAATTAATATTGGCAATAAAAACCACGTTTAATTAAATGTCGTGTACTCGAAATATATGGTAAAAGTATTTCGTAATTATATTTAACGCACCAAAAATGATAATAATACACTTTTTGGTATGTTTTTAAATATTTCAAAAATATCTCGAGACGTATTTCACGAAATTGTATTATTTTAATATTACTATAACTAGAATATCGTCGAAAAAACTGATGATAAAATCAAACTAATGTAAAAATTTTCAATTAAAAAAACCTAAACTAATATTTACTTATCATATGACGAGCGATATATAGATAGGCTCAGGGTTTTTGTAAAATTATTTTTTATTATTTCACTATGATAAAAAACAATTACAATTTTATTATTATTAGCTATTATTAATATTATTAAACTACCATATACAGAGATCGAGATGAATTAACACATTGTACATATGATATTTGAGTCAATGTTGGTCGATTTGCGTAATTAGTTAATTAAATTTAATAAATTAAGGTTAAACAGCCATAAACGCAATACAACACTATTTCAATGGGAATTATTTTCAATGCTATGCAAACACAACAGACAAACACATGAGAGTTACTGTACAGCCAGTCATTGAAATAGCGTTACATTTCGTACACTGTTTAGTAATAATAATAATTCACGCGATGTTTGTCACAGGTTTTAATCAATCCTAACAATTAATAACGTCTTAATTATTAATCAATTAAATCAAATAAAAAGTAATTATATTGGCAAATGACCAGGGCACATTTAAATACGCCACTATATTAGTCAAAGTTCACACCACAACATCAGCTCAACATAATAAATTTATGTGATAGAAATATGTGTTTCATTGAATAGAAAAAACACGTTTAAAACAGGGATCAAAATGTGGGTTAAGTTTTAAGTGATCGTAATTAAGACAATATCACTCACGAGTCGGACTGTAATTATAATAGAAAAACGCGTTTTTATTATAACGAGTTCATTATGAATATACACGCGTATTACTAAAGAGTTCAGTTCACTGTATTATTCACGTCAAACACAATAGTGTTTTTGTGTGTTGTTTTCGTTTTGAGATATATTCACCTTAAATGAGTCAAAAACTGTTATTTCTGTTGACCATAAATTACGTCCGCACCGGAATTGATTTAATTTAGCTGCGCTATGCCTGCGTTTAATAGAGTAGGGTTGCCAAATAAGTTTGTTGTTATTTATGCACAGGATAAATTAAATGTTGGGCCTATCCATAAGCTATTATCATAAATATTGTTGACATTTTACATTTAATAAGTTTAAAATCACGTTAATTAAGCTGAGTTAAAATAGAACTAACCATCAGAATTAAATAATCTAGTTTAATTATATACAATGACTATTACGCACAATATATTCAAGATAATAAATCATGGATAAAATGAGTCACACAACAAACAACTAGGTATTACACTTTTCGGGGGCAATGATAAATACCATGGTATTAATAGAAGGGGGAATTTCAATGTGTATTATTATATTACATACGTTATGAGTGTCTGTGAAGGGGTGGAGAGGAAGTGGTGACGTCAGGGTCACAGACACTGTGCGAGTCTATTGAGTGTCTCGAGAATCCCATATCAACACAAAACATAAGGAATTCGTACGTAAATTACGTGCAAATATTACAATAGGGTCTCAGAAAGGCTAACCCATGGCTGTACTCATGTTTGTGTTTCCCAACGCGACGGGTCATTAAACTTAATGTATTTTCGTAGACATTATTTATGGTAAATTAGTTTATGTAGAGAGCGATACACACAGCGAGAGTGTATGGATAAGCAGTAAAATTGCATTAATGTAAAAGCAAAACAACATTTACATTGTTTTGTGTGTGAATTAATTGTGTTGTGATTAATATTGTAAACGCGCTTGCTGCATTAATTATTTTTCATTGTTTATCATAATCTATTGATTATGTAATGTTTATTTACTAACTCACCTATGTCGAATAGCGCGTGAAATATACAAAGCGTTATAATAATGCAGTGATTTGTGTGTGAATTTTTTGTTTGATTATGATAATAATTTAACTAATATTAATTAACGCTAGATTAGATTTAGTTTATTTGTACCATGTTGGTTATTATTAATATTAATAATATCGCTATTAATAAGGTTAACAATTTATAACCATGGCAGTAAAAATGACAATTAATTCATTAATAACTATATTGGTGAATAAATAATCTCGCACTTTTATATCCACGGTGTTTATTGTGATTAAATTAAATCACTAGCTGATTTACAATAAACACCATCATCATAAATTAATATTGCATCTAATAATCCATCATGATTAAATGTTATTTACAACATTTAATAAATACACGTACGTCAAAAGTAATCGCCAACGTTCACATTTGACAAATACCATGTTCATCGCACACAAAACACTACTATTAATAGTTAATAATAGTTATAA